GGAAAGAGAGAGACTGATCCTGAAAATTTCACGGTGCACTGCGTGAGCTCGAACCAACCGATAATTTTTTCACACTGTCCTTCGAAAGTAATAAGGCGTTTCGATAATTATCGTGCCTGCCGTAGAAAGGAACGACTAATTTGAATTGACAAGCTAATTAATCATTATTCCGGCCGATTTACTCTCGTAAATAGCTGCTTTACCTCGCGTCGATTTCCTTACCGTGAATTTCTTATACGAATTATGAGAAGACATCGTGATCGACTCGATGTTACATGAACATTGGAGCGATTTCTTGCGGCGGTTTCAATATGGTTCCCGTCGAGTAAATAGAAGAAGCAGCGAATATCGTCGCTAAAATTAACTATGGAATTTTCAAGGCATTGCACGAATCTTTAGTCTAACGTGAGTAAAGTAGAGAGAGAAAATTCCGAAGCGCGACTAAATAACAAAATAAAGAATTGCGTATCCAAATTAATTGGCACAATTTTATTATAAAAGTTCGAATATAGATTGAAATATGCGATGATAAATATTCCAGAGCAAATTAATATAGCTCTTTTGCCATGCGATATATAAAAGAGAGCTGATCGAGATTACTTGCTATATTGAAAAATCCGAATATCCGTAAGGCCGTAACGCAATGCTGGAATATCCGCAAATCCGACAAATCCCAATTTCATCTGCACCATGTACAAATGTTTCCAGAATCGAAATACTGGATCCTGTAAAACAACGTTTTCGCTCTAGGCAGTGACATATTCATCATCGCATCGCGTGAGTACTCATCTAATCAGAGATTGCATTTTGAAAGAGAAAGAGAAAGAAAGGGAGTTATTATATCTGATGTTCCATTAAATAAATACGAGCGAAATATATATATAAGAGAAATTAAGCTATTAAAGGGAATATCTTCCATTATACGGATTTCGTGTTTTGTATCGATCATGAACGCTGCAAACGATATATAAAAACAGTTGTATAGTTTCCGATCCCGGGTTTTCCTCTTGCACTCTGTTAAATTAATTTGCGCATAAACTATGGTTAAAACGCATCCAGCCGTAAAACATTACGATTTATTTCTAAAAAAGATGTGTACCATTTTAGCACCGAGTCTTGATTTATTCACAAAAAAAGTGCATTTTTTATAAGGTGCTTCACCGTAGGATAACCGTAAATAAGAGATTCAAGAATTCTTTCCTGAAAAATTTTTGGATGATTTAGTTTCAAAATTTGTACTTTTGTTAATTTTTTGAAAAACTTTATCATGCTTTGGAGATAAAAAATACATGAATATATTATTTTTAATTCAATGATTACATGCTGAATACAAATGAATAAAATCCATGATTCAACAGGCCGAAGGCAAAACGTTTAACTGTCTCTAATTGTTACTAATGTATACCGTAAAGCGTATAAAATGATAAATGCATCATGAGACCAATCATGCAGCAAATTCTCATAGCGCGCTTTCAGGATAAGTTTAGTTCTCGGGCAAGTTTCTGATACGGCGAGCTATTATTGCGCTTGCAAGGGTCAGACTCGCAAAGGTAGTTAACGCGCGCGATATAAATTACATAATCCGAACGGAGAGAACTATGTCAGATGGGAGGGGAAGGTGCAGTAAACGTGACGTGGCAAACCGGTACAAGCCGAGGGCGGTAGGGGTGAAATCTTATCATCGATATCCGCCGGGATTTCAAGTGCCAGGTAAACAGACTCGTATTTGAGATTTCCCATGCGGGGTTGACAGAGAGGGAGAGAGCGAGGGAGAGAGAAAGAGAGGCCAGTTCCGGAATCAGAGGGAAACGGAAACGATAGAAGGAGCTGAAACCGGCAGGAGAAGATGGCTATAAGGGAAGATGCTGGAGGCGAAAGTGCGAAAGAAAAGTAGAGGAGAGAAAGAGAGAGAAAGAGGAATGACGATGGTCCCTGAGTGGCCAAGTGCGTTTTTTTTCTGGACAATTCGATACGAATAAAACCAATTGGTTTCCTAAGTATCTTTATTGGACGAAATTTTATCCGCGTTTGAAACTTCGATCCATACGCCCGGAGAATTACATCTTTCGTTTCCTTCAGTATTTTCTTGCTTGGATTATGAGCCTTTCAACTCCTTTCCGTCGTGCATTAAAAATGCATAATGTTACGCGCTTATTCGACGCGGTTCATTTTTCGATCGGTCGCTTTCCATCTTTGTTTTCAATCTTCTCGTATGCATTTTAAGTAGGATCGAAGGGTATGAGGTTTACATTTAATTCTACCGGTATAAAAAGCTCGTAGGTTTTCGTAGATCTCCATATATAATATATATCTCGCGCGTGAAAATCCGGTCGGTCAGTTAGTCATATACACATACCAGGAAAACTTTATCATGGCAGATTTCTCCGGTGATTTGGAGTTTGTCGGATATTCGTCGAATGCAAATGCTTTAGGTTTATGCGACGAATTTTACTACGTTGTCATGCAGAATGAGAACATTGTCACATAGTTATACGCGTTATCCGCACGATGCGACACACCCGCAACGGGGCTTGATGAATATTTGTCGGAAAACGCATCATTCGCCGCTTTCAGAAAGCACGCACACGTGCGTACATATATACATACAGATATACGGGCCGCGTTAAATGCCGACAGCCTTGAAAACTGCGGCGTAACAAAATTCGAGCTCGTTCAACCCGCTCGTATTTTGTTTCCACATCCCTCTGTCACGCGCTGCCCAAATCCGAAAAAAAAATTTCCTTGTGGAATATTTCCACGTGCCATACAGTGGTGGCGAAAAAATTACGGTGTTAGTTAGCCGCGAGCGTCGAGTTAATTTTCACTATATCTCTCCCATGGGCCCCCCCATTAAATACACTGTTTTTCCGCTCGGGGATCGTTGAAGTGACGCGAGTATAATTTAATTTAAGCATAGCACAAATGCTTGCTCATCATTGCGCTGGGAATTAAAAAAGTTTGTTAAAAACGTTAGAGAAAGAACACCACCGATAAGAAGATGCCCTCGCAGAGAGTTAAATACGCTCTTGCTCATTTATCGCGTGAGGAACATACCACGCAATTAGCCCGTCCAAATTGGAGAAGGCTTCGCAAAATCGATACAAATGTCCTGGTATATTCACAATCATAATATTACTTCGTCTATATGAGAATAAGAAATGTTTTACATTTTTTATATCCTCTTGCGAAAATTTTGTTATTTCACGTAACATATGTCAAATGTAATTTTTTAAAAGTGTCTGGCACACACATTTACGCATCTTTATCACAATTCTGATAACACAAAATAGTTATATTTATATTATACTTATTTATCAAGTAAATTCGGAATCAAAATTAAAATAATACAATTGAATGAGACGTTCTCTAAGCTGTTCTAGGTACTTAAATACACCTTCTATAATATTAAATATCGTCGAGATATCCATAAAATGAAATAGTCGTAGCATGAAAGAGGCAGAACGCTCTTCCATGGAAAAACGTTCAGCTGAAAACGATCGATGGAGCAGATATTCGAACAGTGTGTCTCTGTGCGCGCTGAGAAAGGCCTTTGTGTGTCCTCTATCCTTCATATACTTGTATATCGACGTACCTATATATTTTTCAGGCGAGCCCTTTTACAGTTCGGCGCGCAGCTCTAAGGAGCCGCGCCTCCAAGCGCATCCGGATTATGGCGCAACCGAAATTCGTAACTAAGAAATATGATCCCGCGTAAGTGCACAGTCGTCCGCTCTACTACCTCGTCAGGTTATCGCGAGTCCTCTACAAAATTTATTATCGCGCAGCGTGGCGCCGCTCCCTTACCCGCGTATTCATCCCAAGACACTTGTGGCGAAAAGCAGCAGACGTATCGTCGATCTGGCGTTACCCAAAAGAAGGTGCATATATCCGTTTGCTCGATGCTGAATACTTGGTCTTGACGGGAAAATCTTGAGTTAAATACACAATCAATCTTATTGTTAAATTAAATAAACCAATTTATATTAGATGCCAGAAAATTAAAAGCAATAATTTATAATTTATTTTTCATATTATTTATATATAT